GATGGTGGAGGTCTCTGTCCCTTCCACTCTCAAAGGCTCAAAGCATTTCCACTTCCAACACTACAAATGGATTGCATTAGATCTGAAATGCGGAAAACTGACTGTAGTTCATTCTGATACAAAGCTAATGCAAATCACTGTTTAGGTATAATTAAATATTTATACTTTTTTCAATGAAAGTTAACAAGTGGAGGACATGGACTTTTTGGTGTTTGCTGAGGAACCAGGCAGGTAAAAGCAAACCTGGTAAAACCACTGCTGCTTTATTTGCAGGTGTGCCTCATGACTGATGCATAAGAAACATGATGGGTCTGTGTTTAGTGTGCCAGAACTATAGATCATTGCATACTGCGGCACTTCCATCAATGCTGGAAATCATTCTGATATGGTAAAGGTACCTTGGCCACAGTGACACTTAACCACCAAGTACAACCTGGCTAAAGTTTCTGTGTGAAACTCTGGCCTCTTTGAAACAAAGATCTCTTGATGCCACCAGGGTGGAACTTGTCCGCATTCCCGCTTAGTCTGACTGCAGAACAGCTCTTGCTTGGGAGGTACTCTAAGGTTTGTAGATGGGAAAGTGGCAATAAAAGTTCAAGAACAACAGAAGACCAATTTTTCAGATCATATAAATGATGAACTCTATGCATTAGATGGAAGTAGATTCCAGTTTTTAGAAACCAGAAACAGGAGGGGGAAGCATGAACTCATGTTTTCTAGGATGTTTTAAATTGTATTGGCACAAGCTACGTCCAAGTTCTGCTTTGGCTTGCTAGAGAGGACATTGCCCAGCTTCTGGGCAGCTCTGTTCCCTCTTTTAGCTGGCCAGTGACTCCTTTTAACCCATGAATTTGGTGATTCATCTATTTCATTGCAAGAAGTCTAAACAAATCGAGATCTGAGGAAGCCGTATAGGAAACCTCAAAACAAAGCGCATTTTTTAAGCCAATTAAAGCTGCTACCTTGTTAGTTTTGTGAACACTGCAACAGATAAGCATTTTAAGTGAATAAGCAGCCAAAGATCTACTGGTCTAACAAATAAATTGGAAACTCAAATTGATGGAGATTCTATTTGGATTTCTCAGCTCTTGAATGCTGCATCAAACTAGTTAAAAACTTCAGTGACTATTCCAGGAATTGATAGGGAAGATTGTCATTCACTACAGTTTCTGGGTGTTCAGCAGAAACCTGGTAAAAGTTGGAAATAGAAGTGTCTCTGTTTGCAGAGTAATATAAAGTTCCCAGGAGTTCTTAATGGTTTCTGGTATATTTTTATTACAGCTCTATCCATCTTTCTAAGAGGTTAATGCTCTGCTAGAGTGATTTCCTAGAAAGAAAAATAATGGTGAGAGCAGGACTGGAAGAAGCTCTGGGAGCTAGGAGGATGTTGCACGGGGAACTTTGAAGATTCCAGAAAATGGGAAAGCCTTTGACACATGAAGTTTTGTCTACAAATGCTGGAGTGCCTGAGCTACAGGTATATGTTTATACTGACCACAAATACTAGTTTCATACCTCTGAATTTATTCTGACCTACAGTTAATATTATTTCTTTATGCTTTTGTTCACAATATTGATTTGTTTCAGGAAACTTCTGTAGTACACCAAGATACATTCTATAGGCTTAAATGGAAGTTCATGGAAAAATGTAACCTAAACTGATAAATATCGACAGGGTAATTAACACTATGGAGATCCAGTTCCGATGAGACTCCTCTGTACAGAAACAAATAACATAGGTGTTATCTTGTTTGATTTGTAAGACTTAAAATAGAAAATGGATGTGCTTACTCATATATTGAAAGGCTAGACTTAGCACCTTAACTGTGCTATGAGACCCAACTGACTTGTTTGGGTGTTCTCTTCCTTGCTGTTCTGGCTGAAACATGACAGAAAGAAGTGCATAAAGAAGCTGAACTCTGGTCCCTCAAGAGTTGGATGTGATCCTGCTGCTGTAAACCATAACTGGATATTTCTCATCTGCAGCACAGATGCTATGTAAGAAAGCAAATATGCTCTCCAAATGCTGGCGAACCAAATTAAATAGGATAACTGTCTACAGGGTCTTCGTTCTAGTGAAGAAAATAAAATCGTGTGCTAGTTTCTATCAGAACAAAGATAAACAAGCAACCCACAAATTATCAAGGGGACTGGTGAGGGAAGCCATCAAAAAGAAGAACCACCACCCACCAAAACACAAACCCTGAGTTTTTGACTGTTAGGGAAATACATTATCAGTGTTACTTTTTTTATGAAAAAGGATGCTAAATACACGCATCTAATAGTACACACTAACTCTAAAAATAAAATGACAATGAAACCTGAAGAATGTTTTGAAAGGGTAATTGAGGGTCAAGTAAAATGCTAGTCTGTAGCTTGACAGAGTAACTGTCCCATCTTCTGAAGAAAAAAAGGCATAATCAAATTTCATGCATTTAAGATCATAGAACCAGCTCTGCATAAATACTTGCAGAAATAAGACATGGGTAATATTCTGGAGGAATGACTCTTCAGTTACCAACTGAACTGATGTTGCTGATAGTCAACCAACCAGTCTGCATTTTCATAGTACTAGTCTACCTGTAGATGTTAAGTGTAATGACTGCTATTTAGGTGAGTGCTTTCAAAATAAGGAGCTGATGAACATACTTACAAGCTCTGTTAACAAATATTGTCTCTGAAGAAGTGACAAGCTATAAAAGTTTGTGCTGGATGCTTTCAATCTCTTAATGCAACACGTATACTGGACCATCAGTGTTCATTTTTTAACTGGTTCCATAAAAACTCTTAGGACAAGTGTAAAAGTACAATGAATATTTGCCTGCAAGCATCAAATATTTTCCCTTTGGTTTTAATCTCTTCCAAATAGCAAAATCCATGAGGAGTAAATATTTCCGGCTTTAAATTTCAGGACACTAGCCACAACATGTTTCTGCACTGGTGTCATAGAGGAAGGAAAGCATATCTCTGCATTAAAGTTGGAGGGTGGATTTGAGCTATAATTTAATTTCCACAGCAGCACGTCCCAATCAGTTGGAAAGCTTGTAATTAACTACTTCTTAGGAACCACAAGTAAACAGAATTTGTTTGAGGAAACTTTGATTACTCAATGTGAACTGGATTTCCAGCTAGAGTGCCTGTTGTTAAAGCAAGCAAGTATTTTGGAAGCCTGTTTCCTCAATGATGCTTTCTGCCCTAGCAACACAAGGAATCTCGTACATACAGACTCTAGGTGTAATACTGTGCAAATTCCTTGTACTAAAAGCAAATTCAGTCTGAAGTGCCAGGTTTGCAGGGTGTGCTGAAGTTGGTGGAGTTGAACTCCCTCCCTCCTGGCAGTGGAGGGAAAAGTTTTCAAGTACTCAAAGTATAAACTTAACAGCTTTTCAGAACATGTTTCTCTCTCTTCCTTTCTATTTAGTAAATTAGCACACACAGGAGTAGAGTGGGTGGCAGATAAAGCATCTCTTTAAAATGTAATGCTCTCTAGAATATAAACTCACTCTTAGAAAATGAAGTGGAAGACTGAGCTGATGGCTGCCTGACAGAGAGCATGGTCACATCTGGGCATGAGTAGTTTCCTGTGTGGATGGCGCAGTGTCTCAAGGCTTCCTCATAAATGAGGAATGTCTGTTCAGCCACTCCTCTGGCTTACTGAAGGCACACATAAATGTTTTTCAGCTATTTTCATAACTGGAACTTTTAGAAAGTTAAATGTTTCTTCAAACTTTCTCCTTTCTCAGATTTTATATTACCTGGCCCTTATAGCATCTATTAAAGTACTCTAGCATGTTTTGAGAAGCACAGCCAAGTGCTGCTTCTTGCCTAAAACTGTCCTGTCCTAAGTAAAATTGATATCAGTGTTTTGCGAGGACAAGCAAGGGAAGGCTAAACTTGAGGTACTTCAACATGGAACTGCAGGCTATTTCCACTAAATCTTCTTGTCCATTATATGGTTCTTGAGATAATAAAAGTTTTCCTTAGGTTTGTCTAACATCCTACCTCTCAAAGGGCAAAAAGCATTTTCTACTTAAGCCAACAAACAACAAAATTAGTTATTTCATTCAAAGTTAGACAAAGGCCTTCATGTAAATTCTGCCACCTGGCAAAGAGTATATACAGACACATGCAAAAAAAACTTAAAAGTTTGTTCCGTAGGCTTAATTTTCCAGGCACTCCTTACTTCTACCAACAGCTTAGTCTGGTCTTGTCAGAAGCTTATTCTTCTTCTAATTGTCAGCACAAGAGGTTTTTAAATAATGTTTTGACAGCTAAAATACTATGTCTTCATAAATAAAAAGAACTGTCAACAGTGCTAGTGCAGAAGCAAAGGAACCAGATGCAGTACTAACAGCCAGGGGAGAGGACAATGATTCCAAAGTTAAGCAGATGCTTTTCTTATAGTTTGACAGCCACTATCTGTCTAAATCCAACCTAGAAAATTAGATCCTGCTACAGCTGGCATAGAGATTATGAAAAAAAAAAAAAAAGCCCCTGTTTAGAAATAATAGTATTAGATCAAGAGGGTATTTTATTTGCTTCTGTCAAAAAAAAAGAAAACAAACCAACCAACCCACAAGAATTTTCTGGCATTTAAGGTCAAGCTAGCAACCTTGCATCTGTCTTCTAAGCTTAGAAGAATCTGCTTTAGTAAAATATAGTAGCTTTATTTTACATGCAGCATATTTCTCTTACCCTTAGTTTGCACATGGGCCTATAGGTTAAGCCTTTCTCTACTGCACTGAAAGAAACCCTGGGTTGGATGGGTGTACACAGGATCTCACTTCTCTTCCAAGCCCAGCTCTATCTCATTTAATTAGTATTAAATTCATATTCAGATAACACAGATGTGGAATGAGAACATTTTGAAAGCCACAATGTGAAAAGTTATAAAATGAACAGCAGAGAAAGGCATTAACACCTAGATTCTGTCAGCGTTGGCAAGAAAAGACATTATATGACCCCCCCCCCCGCCATGACCAACACAGGTGTGCCAGTACCTCGCCATAAGAAAAGGAATAAGATCTTTAGTTGTTTCTGGACCTGCAGACCAGGTATTTCTTTTCCAGCCAGAGGTGCCTCAGCGCAGGCCGGAGGGGAAGGGATCACATCCTCCTGGGACCGAGGGCGCCGAGCTACTTCACCTGTCCTCCGTGAGCTGTCCTCGCCGCCGGGGCGGGGGGCTCCCGCTGCTCGGGGGCCACCGCCTTCCAGCCCGGCCCCTCTCCTCGGGCCGCCCGTCAGCAGCCGCTCGGCGGACAGCTCCGCCGCGCCGGGGACCGGGGAGGCCGCCGCCCCGATGCCCCTTCCCCCCCC